AATGTATTTCATGCACCTGTATGGGACAGTAGTAAGCCATCAGGGAGTCCCACTTAACCTTCATCTTACAGCATTTTATGATTCCTCCAGAAACGGGGGACATGCAGGATGGTGGCTAAAGCATATTCAGAAGAGATCCTCTTTTCTAGTCATGAGAAGGGTAAATGCAGGAATAGACTTCCTTTGCACAAGAGGTTAAACCATTCCAGCTTTCAACAGATGTGTATAACCCAACAAAACAAGCGACCCTATTCTGAGTAGGTTTGTAGAGACCTCTCAAATGAAGATCGGACTTCCTTGCTTGTTAATAGGAGAAGTCCTTGCAAGCATGTCCAGTCTTAGTTCAGTTAATGGGGAGCAGAGTGGGAGAGAGTGTATGGTACTGCGTGGTGGAGACAACTCTCTGCTGCTCTGTGCTGGCCTGTGTTAATGCCGGGGTCTCAGAGCATAGGTACCAATTTTCCAACATAGTTCTGGGTTGCTGATCTTAAAGTGTACTGACATTTGCAAAGCATTTCTCTGTCCCACATTGGACCTCAACCCAACAAACAATAACTTTCTTATTATCAACAAAGGCTTTGTTATCAGTAAGGACGTGTCAAGGAGAACAGACAGTGTGTTGGCAGTCCTGCTAATGAAACTATTTATAAAACTATTTATCTTCAGTGTCCAGTATAACAGATTCTTTGTAAATATGGTGCACAGAAGAAATGCATTGCCCTTTTCTTTGCAGACCTTAGTTAATCATTATCCACATGTTTTCTGTGTTGTTTTACTATAGAAGCTCCAGGCTGACAGCCAGATTGTTCATGCTTTCGAAACCTTCCGATTGCCATCTGTCAAACCCATTCTCAACAACTCTGCCTTTTTCTAAAACTTGATTAAGTCTCTACCTTTTTCATCTTCATTTTTGCAAAAAGCCTTCCCCTTCTCATCATTAAGCAAGAACCACTTTGTCACTCTCGTCGTTAATGCTGATGTTCACTGTGCTGCACAGTTTTGCTCCAGTCTGCCACTGGCTTCCTCACCACCATTAAGCTTGTTGGCAGAGCACTCTGTTCCTGTCAGAAGTCAAGTTGAGTGCAGATGCTGGGGTTTGTGGTTTTTTTGGAGGGCTGGTTTCCCAAATATTTCTGAAATGTACAGCTCTTTTACATTCGCTCATTGACAGCAGCTGTCCTGCCTGGACACCTTTTCTGATCCAACGTCTGTTGCTCATGATTGACTGAGAAATAGTTGAATGATAAATCAACGGAATCATAATTAACTAGTCTTAACATAATTAAGACTGCAGAGTCCGCAGCAAGACATGATAGTTATTGAGCATTGTATCAGCTCTATCCTATGGTCAATTCCCAAACATGAACAAAATAGAACTGCATTTACTCCTGCTTTAGCAATATGATTAAAATATATCAAAATAATATAATCAGAAATATGGGGGGTGCCACATATCTGTGCTCTGGGAACTCACAGTGCCTATGTCACAGAGAAGGTCCTCTTTCTGTTTTGCTACACTGCCTTTCAGTAGGTCAAATGATTATAAATTAGATTATAAACATTGTGATTATGATCATAATTAGCACAGAAGGTAGGGCTAATGTATCTACAACTTTTTTTTCCTGTTTTTTGTACGGTGTCTGCAGTTGAAATAGTCAGTCTGGATATTCATTTTAGGAATAGAATGCGTTCTATTTAAAGAATGGCCCAACAGCAGGTCTGTGAATTTACCTCAGTCTTTCTGACTCAGTCTCGGGATTGAGCCGAATGATTTTCGGTGGGTGATTAACGACCAGCATCCCAACAAACATATTGGAGTGAGTGGCCTCTTCTTATCTGCAGTCTCTATCATGTACCTACAGTCTGTCTGAAGGCATACCTGTGCGGCAACTAACTTCAGGCATGCGTATGTAGCTCGGCTGTGGATTTCCTGATTCCGGGCTAGACAAGGTGAGGGTTCCAGCCCGGTTCTGGGTCAAACCCCCGGACCACATGGGATTGTGAGCTTCTGATGGGTTTTGTTGTCCCCAATAGAGGGGCTGGCTGGATGAGCACACTCAGGCCTGCTGTCTAATGAGACCGTCTCTCTCCCAGACTGCCACGCCAGAGGAGGTGTGCTCCTGTCGTTAACCACGCTGAGTCGCTCGGTAATTGAATGGCGTCGTTAGCAAGCCGCGGGAATGTGAGCTGAATCTTAAACACGGAAGAGCAAGATAAGGCAGACACAAAAGACAGACAGGAATGGTGATGTGAAGAACAAACCGAAGAAAACTCTTAATTCTGCTCCCCCTGTCAGTCGCTCTAATAACTAAAATGTACAGGTAATAAGAAGAGCACCATATCATCGACACTGAAAATGATCAATTAAAGTGAATCATGCAGTATATGCTTCTGCTGTTCTGCTGTATTTGAAAATGAATGCTGTGTTTGGAAGGATTGAAGGGGTAACTGCCGGTTATTTTGTGGTCTGTATGTTTGCTGCCAAGGGTCTGTTGCTGCTGTGCAAGTCTGCCTACAGTCTGCAGCCTTCAGCTCTGTGCAGCCTCCTCTCTGTGCCCCTGTCTGCAGCCGCGCAGGAGGTCTCTGGCGTCCTTGTGGGGTCTTCACCTGCGCTTGATCCTCTGTCACAGCTGGGCTGTAGAGGATGCAAGTTCTCGTAACGGGTTAAGGAGGAATGGTTAGGCAGTGTCCTTTAGTTTGTGCTGATTCAATGACGTGGCTGGATGTTATCCTCTGTCTGTAAGTACTTTCCAGTGTAATGAATGAATTGCCTTCTATGACTGTATTGTGCTGGGAGAGAGCCCTGTATGTTTGTACTGTGGCTGACCTTGGCGTCTTGGAGTGATAGCACACACACAGCTCTGGGATTGTGTGTGTGTCGGGGTCTAGGTCACTAGAGCGTCTCGTCTGGTTTTGATCACTTCCTTTTTAAATATTTGTTGGCCTGTAGAGTAATAAGCGTTGACCTGGGCCTAACGGCGTCTGACCTGCCGTCGTTCCTCATCTCCGGCTTGATCAGCAGTGCAGCGCTGGCCTTCAGAGCTGGGCAGAGGCTGAGGGATAATGGTCACGGAGACCGGCGGAGATTCAGAGCTCGGCTCAGCAGGGCAGGTGTGGGGCTCCTGCCTGGGTGACCTCACAAGAGGGCAGTGATGCCCGTTCTGGTCCTCTGCCCCTATGGGGAGGTTAGGCAAGGAGTGCTCGGTACACGCTCTGCTGCAGAATGGTTACATTTATCGCAGAAACTGCATTATTTAAATGCATTTATTTAAAGCAAACTGTTAAATTATTGAAATCATGGACAGAAATGACTGTGTTAATCACGGTCTCTCTCTGGCTGGGCTCTTTTCCATCTAATCCTGCAGGTGTTTTCTCCCGGCAGTCATTTTATTGTTCTTTTTTTTTTTTCCTTCAAAGGAAATGGCTGAAAAGAGCTTCTGATGTACACTGACTTGCTCTCTGTGTTCGGTCTGACTGACTAACGTGTGGTAACTCACGTCCAGGATGGCCAGGGCTCTTGTACCTTTTCTCCGGGACCCCAAGAAGCAACATACTCTCAGTTGCAGCCCGCAATCCTGGATTACAAATTACAGCCTAATCCACTTTGTTGCGTCATACACCATTGTAATCCTTGTAAAATGTGCAGAAAGTCTGGTGTTTGGCAGTGTGAGCTTGTGGCTAGGGAGATGCACACAGACCGTGGGCTGGGGTACTCACAGACAGCCTGGGCCACAGCTTTATCAGGGTGGGAGGGAGAGCTGTCTGTGGGGTTGCACTATCCCAGCCCGATAGACCAGGATGATTTCATGGAACCATCGAGAGGCTGCCAGCACTATTTTGGGTGTTTTTTTTCACAGAACTTTCAAGCACCGTAGCTGGGAGACACTGGTCCTGATTTCTGTTGGAGCTATACACTCTGTGGTCACTTGCCACCAGAGCCTTCATTAAGGTTTAATCATTGTTGACTGACACTAGCAAATGGGAAACTATTCCGAATGTGAAGCCCAGCAGTAATCTTCCAGGAGCCATTCCTACATGCCCAACGTACACAACATGATGAACTCTAACCCCCAGTTCTTCTCATGCAGTATCTGCGCCTTTTTAATGAGTAATACATGCCGATGGTATATGTTACAAGTATCGGTGTCTTGATCAATATACAGTATATTGTTGTCATCTTTTTGTTCTGTCTTGTTTCATGCGTGCCATGTGAATCACATTGAGTTACGGTAGTTTTCTGTAGAAGACGCGTGAAGAAAAACGAAACTGCTGCTGGCTCAGGCTGATGGTTGTGTACGATGAAGACCTTGTGAGAAATCCTTGGCTGTTTATCTAAACCAAACCCTTGTGAGGCACTATGGGCGTCAGGGCATCTGGCTTATGCTGCAGTTACACGAGAAAGGGTGTTCTTATTTGCCAGTCGTGACAAAGCCCTTGCCTAATGTTTGAAAAGGTGAGGAAGAGATCAGGTAACTATATCATGCTCTGGCCACAGTCCAAAATCTCTCCGGCTTCCAGGCACTAGCAGAGTGATCCACTGATCCATAGATGCCCAGAGGTTTCCTCACACTGCAATGTTTTTTTTCTCCACGGTGCAGTACCACACAATTCGAGAACTGTTCTCGAGCGAATCTTAGCAGAATGTCGGAATGATCCCGGAATGGCAGTAATTCCTGGAGGAGGTGGGCCGTGGCCAGCAACCCTGGTGTCCTGCAGTTTAACAGTGCTGGCAGCCCCTGTCCCAGACCTGCTTTGACAGCAAACGCAGAGAGCGCAAGCTCTTCCGCATGCAAGCTTCTGCTGAGAAGAGCTTTGAACAATTAAGAACGTTGAGCCCGAACTTAATTTATTTATGAAGTTCTTTTGCTTTCTGGTTGTCAGATTGTAAGTGGCTGTGGAAGTGCACATGTGCTGCTGACAGCTCGCCCGCTTCTCCGTGCAGGAAGTGAAGGGCGCTCTAGAGAGGGAAGCTGACTCTGTTTTATTCTCTGCGCGGGCAGGAACATGAAGCAGTGTGCACCGGCGGGGGCGCAGCGCCGCCCGGCGAGAGAAGCATCCTGAGCGAGGCATGGAGAGGCGCTAAGGAGGGGCCGCGAGGCAGGTGACAGCCTGCATGGGCACGGCCAGCATGGACACGAGCGTGGCTGTGGAGACGAACCCTGCCCTGAACCCGCTGTGCCAGGACTGCGGGCAGCAGCACTGGAGCCGAGAGAACCACCTGTACAACTACCGGCACGAAGTGGACGATGACCTGGTGTGCCACATCTGCCTGCAGCCGCTCGTGCAGCCCCTGGACACGCCCTGCGGGCACACCTTCTGCTTCAAGTGCCTGCGCAACTTCCTGCAGGAGAAGGACTTCTGCCCGTTGGACCGCAAGAAGCTGCACTTCAAGGTCTGCAAAAAGTCCAGCATCCTGGTGCACAAGCTGCTGGACAAGCTGCCGGTGTCCTGCCCATTCTCCGCCGCCTGCCCCGACTCCATGCCCCGCTGCGACCTGGAGGCGCACCTCAAACACAGGTGAGGGAGCACGCGGCACGCCCATCGCGGCACAGCCCGGCTGCTCGCGCACTGCAGCACCTGCAGAAATCAACGAGCAGGTGCAGGTGGAGGGCTGTGGGCTGGGGAGGTCAGGGGAAATCTTTTGCTGCCAGATAAACAAGGAATGAGTTTGGAAGTTGTAGTTCAGAACAGTAACTTGTCAGGAGACATTCTGATTGATCATGCAGCACAGTTACACTCTAGTCAAGCTGAAGAGTGCCTGTAAGCTTGGGATCAAGCTCTTCGTGGTTCGTGACATCTTGTCACACACTGTGGGTGAAGCACATTTCCTCCCCAGCAGTCTTTGTTAGCCTGTGATCTTCTAAAGCAACTCCACAGACTGACTGTTCTTTCAGTCATGTCGTTTGGACCTGTCATATTTTTTTAAGCTGCACTGGAGAGCTTGTTACTAATCACTACATTCTACATCATGCACCAGATAATGACAAAAGAAAAACAAGCCTCTTTGGAAGAGCATGGGTAGGATTTAGCTGTACAAAAAGAATGTTTTTTTTGGAGAGGGTTTAATGCATCACTAGAATTAGAATTTATTTTTTTTGTAGACATATGTAGAATCTAAATCAAGGGGTGTTAAGCTAAAATGGTATCATGTGGTAGTAAGGCTTCATTACTGTTGCACCTGAATGATCACTACATTATAGAAAAGACATTGCTGCTCTGACAGTCCAGAGAAGGGCAGAGGGATATATTCGGGGGATTAAGGGAATATTCTACACAGGAACAGAGAGCAGAAGACAAGTTTATTCACAATGTGTTATGGGATCATGTAACAATCTACCCAGCCATATTCTTGAAGTCGAACCCTTAGCTTATTTCAGAAAGTCTGGTTATGCTCCTTTTTAACACCTCGCTACTCACTCCTAAAAGGGTTAGATGGGCCAGGCAGCCCCCTCTGCTTGGCATTCTAGTTTTAGACATGTCAAAGCCTTTTCTGATGACGTTTTGTTTAAAAACTCGATTTTTTTAGACCTTTACCTTTCAGTGATGTTCACACTCCCCGCTAGACTACTGTGAACAGCAGCGAAATGGGACACCTCTGTGCTGGGCCTGCCCTCCCAAGGGACTGCCGAAGTAACAGGGAGACTCGTTGCTGTGTGAAGAGGGGTAAAGCAGGGTTCTGTGGAGCGTGAGGGAGAGAGGAGGAGGTCCTCACTGCTCCGGCCTGGTCACATGCGCTCACACCGCTGGGATTAGGCCCCACCAGGGGTGTCTGTCTCTATCATGTGAGGGGGGGGTGCCCGCAGATTCCCACAGATTCCCACTCTCTGCTTGTACCATGCCGGGAAACTTCGACTCCAGGAACCTCTTCAATTATTTCTTTTGTGAAACTGCGAAAGGGAACCCCACTCTGTGGTGAGTCGCTGCCCGGCATCTCTGTCTCTCGGAATCTGCCGGGAAGCTCCAGCTGATTTTATCTGGAACTTCGGTAGGTCCTCTGCCGCCTCTGCTCTTTCATCTGCTGGCTTCAGGGATCAGTGAACAATTCCCCATCTTGACAGCGGTGGTCACTGGGGCTTCTAGTCTGTGTGTAGTGCGGTGTAGGAGAGCCTGCCTGTGGCCAGTTTAGCGGGCGCTCAGTTGCAAAGCTTTGTCAGGACACAGCATCCTTCGCTGTCCTGCCCACAAGCTCCCTGCGCTCCCAGCGCCAGAGCACTGCTGTCCCTGTGATGGGGGCAGTGGGCAGAAACACAGTGCTGCCACTGGCTGCTCTCCTTCCACTCCGCTTCCTGTGCATCTGGTCTATTCCCCATGTGCTTTTCTTTCAGCCATAACAGGACGCTTGTCAAGGCCCCTCTGTTTCGGATGGCAAATGCACTCGCTACTAGTTTCCCAAGCCACGCATCTAAGATCGAGCAGAAGAATGGATTCGTTTTCTGCTCCGCTAGATTTTCACCTGAACGCTTAAGAACGTGAAAAGAGAGGTTGCCGATGGGAGGCGTTGTTCAGTCAGTTGTGCTCGTCTTCTGGTTGCACATGGATTGGGGGTCTGAGGGTTTCACCAGGATTCTTCTTCGGGAGATCCAGTTAAATCTCCTTTTATCGTCATCATGATCATCGCAATAACAGTTATTAGTTCCTTGGATTTGTATTGAGCCTTACACAAAGGACGGGACCAACGTCATCCAGCACCGAAGGGTAACACACAGTGGCTGTTCTGTGCCAGCTCCCCAGCTGCACAGCCAGACCATTGGAGAAGTTAGAATCGGCTTCAAGCTTTCAAACTTTCAATAAAGGGGAAGTTTTACAGAGGCCACATTGTAGAGTACAAGTGAAGTCAAATTTAGCCAGGACACAAGGGTAAACCCCATTCTTCTGAACAGTGTTATAGGATCTTTAGTGTCCAAATAGTCAGGATCTCAGGATGACATCTCATCCTAAGGGCATGAACTCCTACAGCACCGTGTCCCCCCCTCACCCTACTGAGGCTTCTCAGGAGGAACGACTGATCCAGGAGGAAAAGTCCAGCAGCCACACATTTCCCTAGACACCTCCCAGTAGCGACCAGGCCCATCATTGCTAAGCTGCTGAGATCTGATGTGATCAGGCTACAGTATTGTAACGCTCTTGTCCGGGACATGTCATGGTCAGGTAAGTTCACAGCGGCGTTCAAAAAAATGGGCGACAGATTTTGCTCTGGAGCAAAAAGTTCTGGAAATTCCCTTTCGTGTCTGCGTGTATTTACTTCAGCAAGAAGGTTATCGCACTGTGCTGTCAGATGCCCTGGATCTGCAGGGACCGCTGTCCTCTGGTCTGGTCTCTGGCCGCCTCGTGTCATCTGAGGTGATGAGCAACAGCATCAGTCTGCTTCAGAACACGTTCTGCACTGTGGGATCTGGGAGTGCTTACAGGTCACCTGCTGTTAAAAACTGCCGCTAGTGAGGAATTTTGATTTTTGTGAGAATAATGTTTAGTCTCTGGTGATCTAACACCTGGCACAAGTGTAGCTTTCGTAGCATACTGGAGGAAGGTGATTGACTCCCTGTTGGTTTGCATAGTCTTATCAAAGCACCGTGGGGTTAAACTGGATTTGCTGGAAGGATTGTGGGAATGCACTATGCACTGCAGTCCTCATTCCTACCCTGTGGGGCAGTGCAGTAAAGTCAGCAAGTGTGTCCCATGTACCAGGTGTCCAGGAGCTCTCAATCACCGGGCAGGCCTGGAGAGGAGGCGCTCGGAGAGGCTGCCGGCACCCGACGGCGGCGGGGAGGGCAGAGCCATGGGGATGGAGCCTCCGGACAGCGCACATTCGCCCGAGCCAGGGAGCGCCGGGGATTCCCCACCAGGGGGCAGCACTGCCTGTGCCGCGGTGCCCATGTGGACGGACGAACACGGCCTGGACAACCCCGCTTTCGAAGAGAGCACGGAGGAAGACAGTGAGTACGGGGGCCCGCCTGTCAGCCTGCGTCTTCCCCTAGAAGTTGGCAGAATTTCGGAAGCCGTGATACGCTTCTCCTGAGCATCTTGTATAGTTCTGTGTGCACCACGGCTCATGGCTGCAGAAAAGGCACCATCCTGTCCGTGTTTCTCTCATTCTCTACCTCTGCTGTCTGTCCCAAGGCTGAGCTGAAGTCTGAAGGAACGTCCATCCATTAGTTCTCCCCTTGCTTGATGTTCCGCTCAGTCTTGCCAGCAGGTGTAAGCGAATGAGACCGCTTGCCATGCAGATGGCAGACCAAGAGAGAGATTCGGGAAATGTGAGGGCAAGAGAGGAGAAGGCCTTACTCACACCTTTCCAGACAGTTCCTGAACTCTCGTGTTGAAATGACCGGGACACACAGGGTCCTAGTACCTCTATCAACACACTTTCATATATCTGATGCCTTTTTAAGCACAGTTGAAGTCTGGAATCCATGTGTGGAATCCCAACTGCATCGGTTGGGGCTCTGGACTAAAAACTGGAAGGTTGTGGGTTCAAACCCCAGGTGAGTCACAGCCTCACTAGAGTACAGTAGAACTATGCACATGTAGATATAGATCCCTGGATAAAAGTGTCAGCCAACTAAAATAATTATCATAAGAAAATGAAAAGGTATACACACACAGTGCGGTCTTAATAACTTGTGTGCGTTTAAACTGTAGGGAAGTAGTGTCGTACTCTAACCTACCCACATGTTGATAAACCAGTTCTAGCACCTGTGTGTCTTTAGAAGGAGGGCTGATTATTTTTATAACATCATACTTCAAATTGTATGACACCTTTTTCGTTGGCATAATTCTTCACGGAAGAAACTAGATTCATAGATCACGGTCCTTTGTTGGTATATAGCATGTGTTCTCCTCTTCCATTTTCCCCCAAAGCTTTAAGTTTCCCATTGTGCTGTTAACCCTCTGTGCTCAGCTCTTTGTTGTGATTCTAATCCTGATGAACAGAGATTAATCTCCTGGTGAGTTCATCACCAGAGGGAATACAGTAGCTAGCTGGGAGTTAGGCGATGTGTGTGGGTGAGTTCTCTTAACTGTGTCAATGCAGTTCCTCAGTAAGGTCTCGGAGTCCCCTTCTCTCTGTGCCTGGACACATTATTAGAAGCCATTATTTAACTGTTCCCCTGTCCAGTGTTCCAGTATCTCTCCTTACAGTCCCTCCATTCACATGACAGTACAGGAGGCATGCAGCTTTAATAATGATTTAATGATGACAAGCTTTTTTCACATAATACACTGTTCTCCGATAACTGTATTGTTGCTTATACTTCAGCAGCCTATAAACAAGACACACATTGTAATTTCCCATAGTTCCCATAAGTCTCCAGTTTGAACAGTTTTTTGAATGGCTTTTATTCTCCTTTGCTCAATACAGCTGGTGCAGTATAGTCCGGTTTGTGCTGACTGTGGTCTTCATTCATGCCCCCTTGTGTGCTGGCCTGTGTGGGAGCCAGTTGTATTGTTATTATGTAAAATGCATTAATTCATAATCTTGTACAGTTAAAGTGGACACATTGATTAGATATTTTAATTTTTTGTGCTCACTGTTATATAATATGCACCTCTGCCTTCGCTTTTGTTTCTTGCTATTAAACGTTAGCAAAGTGTCTTCTACGTCAGCACTTCCCCTCTGTAGATCACCAGTGTGAAATATTGTTCGTGCTGTATGTTAATGTGTGTAGCCACAAACTTCATTGCGACCACCACAACGCTCATACTAATTTCCAACATATTGCGGAGGTTTGGTCATCGGAAATCAAAGAAAAGCTACATATGTATTCGTCACAACGCATGACATCAACGCAAAGCATTTAACCTGTCTGAAGGTTTGGATTCTGCCTGCATCTCCTGTACACTAAATGTAGGACCTTGATAGGTTTGTGATCATTATAAATACTAATACATCTCTTATGTCTTCTGGAGAAAGCTTTATAAAGGATCATTAACATTACTTTAGCAGCATATGTAGCTTTTATGAAAGTGTGAAGTCATCAAGTTAAAAAGCATTCATCGTCTATGTTATTTCCTGTTTCTTCACAGGATTAGTTTACAATATTGTATATTGTTTTGAGACTTAGAAGCATTGTGTCCCTAAAACATTTCTGTTTGGTCTGGGTGTATTTTTGGTTCAATAAGTTTGTTTTGTTTTCTATTGTTTCGAACGTTTGTTTTCGGCTGTTGTTAAAATAACCAATTAAGCCCATGAACGATAACAGATGACTAAGAAACGATTGAACCCTGTGCTGTGTCACAGCAACTGTAACACCTGTCCTTTTGTTTCTGTGACTCTCTCCACTAAATGAAAAGAACAAACCTGAGTCACAGGCCTGAGAAGTTTTTGAGAAGATCGACTGGGAGATCTGGGAGCTCTCGGTGTAGCGGCCCTGTCTGTTCCCCGGGTGACATGTCAGAATGGCATCTGTGTGTGCTCCGCAGGTGTGCACAGCTTGGACTGCAATCCAGCCCGTGCCAAGAGACCCCTGAGTAACCCCTGTATCCACCTGCACAGAACCAGCAGCACCAATTCCTCCGGCTGGGATATTCCCGAGGATGGACCACCACCCCCTGCCGAGGAAGGTAGCGCTCCCTTTTCCTCTGCCTCTTCCTCTTCCTCTTCCTCTTCCTCTTCCTGTCCTGCCAGCTCCAGCTGCATGGGCCTGTCGGAGGCTGTCCTTCCTCCTCCCATGCTGTGTGAGTTAGTCAGCCCGTGGAGTGTGTGTGTGTGTGCTTGTCGAGATATGGACAGCTCCCTTTAGCTGGTTCAGTGCAGGGCATGCCTTTGGAATGCATTCAAACAAAGCCAAGCTTTGGACACAGAGGCCGAAGCTCAGGCCAGGCCACTGGAGCGACGGGTGACTTAAAAATCAGAAGGGTATTTTCAGACTGAGTGTCCGTGGTCGAGCCGCGGTTTAGCACTGTCTGTCTTGAAGCAGTGTGTCCGTGAGCTGCGGTCCGCAGCCAACCTGCTGCGCTGGTCCCTGTAGCCCCAGTGTAAACATGTTGGCCTTCCTGAACCCCTCCCAGGCTGCCCGAAGGTCCCTGGCCTGCCAGAGGGGGAGATTACCACCATTGACATCCAGCGCTCCAACCCCTACATGGAGCTGGGCATCAGCGTCGTCGGCGGCAACGAGACGCCGCTCATCAACCTCGTGATCCAGGAGGTGTACCGCGACGGCATCATTGCCAGGGACGGCCGTCTGCTGGCGGGAGACCAGATCCTCCAGGTGATCCCCCCACCCCTTTCGGTACCCCGGGATCGAGCTCGTGTTCTGGGGCTGGGCTGGGGTCGTCTGAGGAGGCTCAGCCCAGCCTCATTTGTTTGGCTGTTAATTTTCTATATGGCTGCGTTTACTGATGGCGGTCGTTTCATAAACTCAGCTATATAAAACAGGCAACACAAATTTGGCCAATAATGTTCAGGCCTAATTGGCAGCTGATTGTGTGAGGTGGGCTGTAAAAAGGCACAAAGATGTCTGGACTCCTACAGCATCGGAGAAAGTCCTTTGTTTGACTCCGGCCTGGTCCAGCGACAGTCAGGAGAGAAGGAACAGGACCTGCCTCTTTGTAATGAACCGTCTGTGAATCCACAGCCCTGCAGTTTTTCACCCCTCTTGGCCCGCCAGCGAAGGGCCCGGCCCAGACTCGTTTTACACGAAGGGTTCTGAGGAGGGCCCGCACACCCGTCCCGCCCTGGGCTGACAGGCCGCGGTCGGTTCTGCTCCCCAGGTGAACGGCGTGGACATCAGCAACGTGCCCCACAACTTCGCCCGCGCCACCCTGTCCCAGCCCTGCCCCGCGCTGCAGCTGACCGTGCTGCGGGAGCGGCGCTTCTCCGGCCGGCCGGCC